GGACCCTCAATTAGTATGAGGTTTCCAGTTTATGGCTCTAGTTGTAATAAAAGTTTGAAACATGCAGGAATAAATCCTGGTTATTTTTTGAATAAACAAACTCTACATTTGAAAAATAAAGTCTTGGGACGCCTGGGTGGTTCAGTTGGTTAAGCATCTGCCTCTGGTTCAGGTCATGTTCCCAGGGTCCTGGGATCGAGTCCCACTTTGGGCTCCCTGATCAGTGGGGAACCTGCTTCTCTTTCCTTCCTCTGCTGCTGCTGCTGCTGTTCTCTCGCTCTCTCTGTGTGTCAAATAAATAAGTAAAATCTTTTTAAAAAAATTAAGTCTTAAAAGAATTTTTTTCAGCATACTACATGATATTAATTTTAAAAATCACTAAGTACAGAAAGGGTTAGTGAAGCAACTAAGACTCATTGATCCGTCCCCCATACCCCATTCCCCAGAGGCAACCACTTAGAGTTATTTAGTGTTTTTTTCTGGTAGTTTCTGTCACATTTCCACTGATGTGTTTTTGCTACAATTTCCTGATCCATTCACTTTAGGTAATAATTGGTGACTTCCTTGTATGATGGATGTTGGTTTAATTTTCTCGAACTACCTTCTTTCTTTCTTCAACAACACTCACATTACTGGGGCACCTGCGTGGCTCCACTGGTTAAGCATCTGACTCTTTTTTTTTTTTCTTTAAAGATTTTTTATTTATTTATTTGACAGAGATCACAAGTAGGCAGACAGGCAGGCAGAGAGAGATGGGGAAGCAGGCTCCCCGCTGAGCAGAGAGCCCAATGCGGGGCTCGATCCCAGGACCCTGAAATCATGACCTGAGCCAAAGGCAAAGGCTTAACCGACTGAGCCACCCAGGCGCTCCAAGCATCTGACTCTTGATGACAGTTCAGGTCCATCTCAAGATTGTGAGTTCAGGCCCTGGGTTGGGCTCCACACTGGACATGGAACCTAATTAAAACAACAAAACAAAACACTCACGTTACTATAGTTAAATCACTCTTGTTAAAGGAGTATTCAGTGTTTTAGTTAGTAGGAGTGTGTAAATACGCTTCTCTGTAGAGTCAACTAGTAAACTATGAGTAACGTGTCCTTCCTGGAACACCATTTTGATTCCCTGTAATTTCTAATTCCCTTAAAAAAAAATTCTTACTCTAACTACCGTCTGTCTACCAGATAAAATATGTAATGTTACATAATACAGTATTACAGTGTTACATAATTATAATCGAATATTATAGTATAGTATATCTATTACAGTGTTATGGTATATCTAATATAGAATAGTGACTATATAATGTTACATGATAGATGTATAATGGGTGGCATATCTGGTAGATTCACATGCACATATATACATATACAAACTATTACATATATTTTACCAGATTTTTATAAAATACATTTGACCCTTGAATATCATGGGCTTGAACTGCATGTATCCACTTACATACAGAAGTTTTTCGATAAATACTGTCCAGTGCTGTTTATGTATTTTCCCTTCCTCACGATTTTCTTAATATTTTCTTTTCTCTAGCTTTCTTTACTGTAGGAAAACAGTATATGATACATATAACACACAAAATATGTATTAATTGACTATATTGTCAGTAAGTCTCCTGGTCAACAATAGTGTTCGTAGTTAAGGTTTGGGGGAGTCAAAAGTTCCATGTGGATTTTTTACTGTGTAGGTGGTCAGCTACCTAACCCCTGCATTGTTCAAGGTTCAACAACATATATATTATATATTATAAATATGTAGTTTTTAGATTATTTATTATATAGAATCATATTTTATAGTATGAGACTTTTACATAATACATAAAATCTTAAAAGTATTTTATTTATTTTATTTTTTTATTATGTATAATAAATGGATCTTGGGGCACCTGGGTGGCTCAGTGGGTTAAAGCCTCTACCTTCGGCTCAGGTCATGATCCCAGGGTCCTGGGATCGAGTCCCGCATCGGGCTCTCTGCTCAGTGCGGGGGAGCCTGCTTCCTCCTCTCTCTCTGCCTGCCTCTCTGCCTACTCGTGATCTCTGTCTGTCAAATAAATAAATAAAATCTTAAAAAAAAAAAACAAACAGATCTGTTTCCTCCCCCAAACAAACATGCTGTCCTAGCAGGTTTTCTACTGAGCCTTCTCCTTCTCTGGAGACTTCTCTTCCAGGGCTGACAGTGTGTGAGCCAGTCACTCTGAAGTCCTGTTGTTGTCGTTCCAGAGCCTCCATTTACTACTCCCAGATTGATTGGATCCACCGTTTCCTGTATCCCATCTCTTCTTGTATTTGGTTTATTCCCCTATTTTGCTAGAGGAAGTTCTCAAGTAGTTTTCAAATACATGCATGGGAAATAGATGTTCTGAGTCTTCCAGCATCCTGAGCACTACTACTCAGAAGTCTGATGCCATCCCGAATTTCATTTGTGGGCACAGAATGGAGCAGACGAGTGAAGTTAACCAGATCCAGCCCTTCTGGATGTGTGTGTGAATGTGTATAGTTGGCAGGGGTGGGGGAGACATGGTGAGGGGATTGGTAGGACGTATGTCTACAGAGGCAAGGTTAACAGGGGGAGGTGTGACCTGGAGGAGCCTGGTTTTAATTTTAGGAAGCATGCAAATGTGGCTGTCTTTGGTTGTCTCCCTCTGCTAAAGAACCCCAATTGTTGGTTTGAAGTCAATGTCTAGGGTGATTTTCAGGAACATCCACAGGCCTCTCTAACCTCGTATTGGCCTGGTCCTGTCCATCTGTCCATATCTAGGACACAGATGACAGGCTGATCACCGACGCGGTGCTACGTGTAGAGGCACTCGACGGGCTAGGCAGATAGGCTGGGCCTGGCGGGGGACATGGGCAGTCCTCCAGCCGGGTCCAGAGAACCAGTGGTGGAAACACTGGGGGGCTCAGCTGCAGGGTGTGAAGGTAACTGGGATTGTTTGACTGTTGAATGAACATGGCTGATTGCCAAAGAATTCCGTGGGGTTCTAGGTTGCATTTAGTAAAGAAATGACCTCCCGGGCAACAGAGGGAGGAGTCTGCTCAGGCTTACGGTGGGGCAGGTCACAGCTAGAGTGTCTGGCTCTGAGCTGGGTGTATGCTGTTCTGTAGTGAATTTCTCATCCCTAAATGTTCATCTCAAATGCTCTTCTCTATGCAGAGCTTTCCTTGCCCATAATTTATTTCTGATTTGTCTGGATTTTTGGTCTCTATTTGCTTACGGCGTTGCTATAATATATATCCCTCGTCTCTGTCGAGTCTCATTCCTCCAGGATTCTCAGACAGGTCCCTTCATCTCTGTGCTGTTGGACCTGCTGCTTCTGGCTCCGTCTTTGTCGCTGGGCTTTGTAGAGACCAGATGAGGTGTACGTCACGGCGTACCAGAAACAAATGGGAGGTCTTGTCATTTTCTGTGCATTTGTTCATGTGAGTCTGGGTAGCAGCTTTAGACTCGCAAGCCAGTTAAGCAACTGTTGCCCCTCACCTCTGTGCAGCATGTCTGCTTTCATACGTCCTGAATTTCTCAGTGTGGGAAAAAAGTCTGCTGTTTACTCTCCAACTTCTTCAGCACTGGGACCTTTTTTTTTTTCTCAGCTAATTCTTTTGCCACTCTTCCCTGAAGCCCTTACGCTGTCACTGCTTAGCTGGGCCATTGTACGGCTGCATCCTCCGTGACTCTGGAGGCCGAGGGTCAAGGATGTGGGCAGGGCCTGCCCGGAACAGTTTGGGTTCTCTGATGCACCAGACGTGGCCTAAGTCTGGGATTTGCAGACCCAGTTCCTAGGAACTGCACTGTATTTTTACTAAACCCAAAGGCGTTACTTGGGTGCAAAAGGCCTGCTTCCCCTGGTGCTGGACAGTGACTGTTCCACTTCTCCATGCTGCGTGACGGGACCGTTGGACGCTTAGTCTGATGGGTGTGGCAGGGCTGCAGGCCCACATCCTTGCACTGACCATCAGGCCCCATTACCAGGCTTGACCAACAATGCCCCGTGTATCCTGCCGTATCAGCCATTGATCTCAAATCCCGGAGGCCCTGGGCTCTGGAAGCTAAAGCTAGGGGAGCTCCCAACATCAGCCACATGGGCTATGCCAAAGCCAGCCCTCTCCTAAATCCTCTTGCGAAACCAAATCTCCCAGCCTAGACTCCTTTCCTCAAAGCCATTTTATTTAAGGGGCCTTCTTGCCATTTCCTGGTACTGGGTCTTAACCTGGGACTTGCAGGACAACCACAACATGAGTCCTTAGCATCCAGTCTAGAAAACCAGGAGTTCAGATTTCTATTCCTTCCTTCTAAGAAGGCTCCTTAGTTACAACGACCATTCCTCCCTGGGTGCCCAACCTTTACATACTGGTTATCTCAGTCATAAAGGATCGTCCCCCCGTAAATGACTGCCTGTGGAGAAGAAGCTTGGCTTCTCTGGATTAAAACACTGTACCCAGTATAAATATGACACGGCCGTCAACTGCAGGGCATGTGGGAGAGCCTGGGTGGGAGAGGCGTCCTGCCTCTGGGCGCAACACGCACGAAGGGACCCTGTCAGATCTCCTGGGGCCTTCGGCATTTTGAGGAAAGAGCTAGAAGCTGTGGACGCAGGGAGAGACCTGATGTAGTGGTGCAGAAACTCTGGGAGCCGTTTGTGTGGAATGGGCGTCACTCCGTGAGCCCCTTGGTATTGTAGGATCTGTGCACCCATGGAGGCAACTACCATTCAGGGTGTCATGGCGTCATTTAGAACTGTGGACTAGGTGGCTTTGGAAGATATCTTCCAAATGTGAGATTCCGTGACAAGTGACAAAATCGAGGCCATGAAACTTTTCACCTCTGCATGTAACAGCCTCTTAAAATCTTCAGTTGTACCCAGGACTAGGTACACCACAGACATGTCATTTAGGACGTTTCCCTCGGTCTTTGTGCACAGTTCGCCTTTTTTTTTTTTTTTTCCTGGTTTATTTCTCTTCTCTCTCATACTCCATATATTTTCTTCTCACTTCAGCTTTTGAATCGAAAAGACAAGACCACTTTTGAGAAATTGGACTACCTGATGTCTAAAGAAGATAATTACAAGCGGACCCGGGAGTATATCCGAAGCCTGAAGATGGTTCCCAGTATTCCCTATCTAGGTAGGAGTCTGAATTGGCTTATTATTTATTAAGAAACCTGCTCAGTGCCAAATTAGATGTTTTTACAGTTTCTAGTTGAGAAATTTCCAGAAGCAGCATGGGCAATGGATAAAAAGGTAATTGGTGAGGTCCTCGGATCAGAACAGGCCTTTGATATTTTCCAAGGATGGGAACCTTGCTGAGCACCAGGAAATAAGGAATATGGTACTTTTATATAAGTAACTTGTGAGTGAGTAGTCACCAGCTTCCCCAGCCTCCCCAGCTCAGAAGGAACACAAGACTTACTGGTTCATCCACATCCTTGTGAACTAGTGGAACTCAGGCACAAACGCCTCTGTTCTGGTTCTGTGGGCATTATTAACATATTTTATAAGATTTGTACCAACAAATTTATAATGATTATTGATTTTTCTGATTAGAAAATAATACATTTTCATTGTAAGGGATTAGGGGAAGAAAATTAGTATCATTTGTCACCCCCTGTAGATATTTTCAGTGTTTTGCATCATATCCTCTCATTTGTTTGGGTGCATATAAAAATCCATAAATAGCGAACATTTAATGTCATTACCTGTATTTCAGTACTATGTCTCAATCCCATTGCATGGATTTACCAAACTTGCATTTGCTAACATTAACATTTAGGTTGATTCTTCATTTTTGTTATCAAAATGTCGCAGCAAGCATCCTTACTGCAAAAACCTCTTGCATATAGTTAAGCTTATTACCTTACAGTAAATTCTTAGAAGTGTGATTATTGGGTCAAAACATATGCAGAATTTTGCCTTTTTGGTATGTTTTCAAAATGCTCTCTGTAGAGGCTGTAGCAACTTACATTTTTATTGCAAGGGGATAAAATCTGTTTTTCCTAGGTAAACAAATACTGTGTATTTTCGGCTGTGTGGGGTTTTTTTTCTTTTCCTTTCTCTCTCATTTTTTTTCTTTGCCAATTTGAGAGGTGAAAAATATTTCTTGTAGTTTGGGTTTCATGCTAATGCTAATTCCATGAAAAAAATTTGTCTTTTTATGACCTAAAAATAATACTAATAATAAGAAAAATTAAGGTTTAATAGAAGTGGCTCCCTAATATTTTCAGAGATCTAATGTTAATTTTTTGGAGGTATATTTTTATAGCTTACAGATGTCTTCCATGAACATTGTTTTCGTTTTTTTAAAGATTTTGTTTATTTATTTGACAGAGATCACAAGTAGGCGGAGAGGCAGGCAGAGAGAGAAGGGGAAGCAGGCTCCCTGCTGAGCATAGAGCCCAATGTGGGGCACGATCCCAGGACCCCGGGATCATGACCTGAGCCAAAGGCAGAGGCTTAACCCACTGAGCCACCCAGGTGCCCCTGAACATTGTTTTCTAATACCCTTTTGTTTTGTTTTGTTTTTTTGTTTTTTTGAGAGAAAGAGAGAGAACACAAGCGGGGGGAAGGGCAGAGGGAGAGGGAGAATCTTAAGGAGGTTCCATGCCCTGCATGGAACCCAACATGGGGCTCAGTCCCATGACCCTGAGATCATGACCTGAGCCGAAATCAAGAGTCGGATGCTTAACTGACTGAGCTGCCCCTGTTTTCAAATTCTTTTAAAGTCAGTTTGGGAAATTTAGTTTTCGTAGAAAATTGTCCGCTTGACCGAAGTTTATAAAATTATTTGCATAGCGTTCTTTTCCTCATTTAGTCTTTTTTGACCATAGTTTTATACAGTATTCTCTTATAAATTTTAGCCTCCGATGTATGGATGCTTGTATTTGCTTCGCATTCCTGATAGTTTGCATTTTTGTTTTCTCTTTCTTTTTTTTCATTTGCTTTGTCAGAGCTGTGTCTTTTGGTCTTCCCAAAGAATTCGACTTTGTATTTATCAGTCATGGTGTCCTTCTACCTTCTAGTTTACTATATTCTGTCATCCTAAGGTTGCTTTTTGTCTCCGCATGTCAGCACCTCTGAAGTTGAGATGCATCTTTTAATCGGCTGCGAACAAAGCTTGTGACGTTGTTTAGTTGGCAGCGTTTTTCCGAGTGAAACATAAGATAACTGTGGTTTATAATGATGTCTTGTATTTGATGAAATATGGAATTCTGCTTTTGTCCTTCATCGTTCATCTCCCCTGTTTTCCTTACATTGTTTTGTTATTTCTGTTAATTGACTCGTGTGTATAAATATTTCTCTCTCCACTTTAATTTGGAAAACAGTTAAGGGCGTCCATTTTGCTGTGATCGCTGCTACAGGCTCTGTGACACGGTGTTCTCAGTGGTGTTCTTGGAATGTCCTGTGCTTATGGTTTCAGTTTTTCTTTTATCCACTTAATAGTTAAGGTAGTGGGTTTTGTTTTTTTTTTTTTTAATTTTTAAGGGCTTGAATTTTCAAATGGTTTTATGGGGATAGAATTTATGTCCTATCCATTTAGATTGTCCAGTTCAGTGATTTTCAGTCCATTCAGAGCTGTGCAGCCATCAACACAATTTTGCAACATTTTTATCATCCCTAAGACAAACCCCGCACCCGTTAGCAGTCACTCCATTTTCCTTCTGGCCAGCTCTCTTCTGCCCTCACCCCAGCCCTTGGCAACCACCGGTCTACTTTCTGTCTTCATAGATTTGCTTATTCTGGACATTTGATAGAAATTTAATTGCACAGTATGTGGTCTTTTATGACTGGCTTTTTTCCCTTTACTATCATGTGTCCAAGGTTTATACATGTTGGAGCAGAATCATTACTTCATTCCTTTGCATTGTCAGATAACATTCCATTGTGTGGAAACCACATTTTATTTATTTATTGGATGGACATTGGAATTGTTTCACCTTTTGGCTATCATGCGTCACAGTGCTATGAACAGCTTTGGTTTTTAAAAACATAGTCTTCTCTGTAATTTTTTTACGTGGGTTTAGGCCATGTGGCATATATGCTTTCTAGGTTTAAAAAGTTTGACGTTTGTCTTGTGGTTTAATATAAGATCATTTTTTGCAAATGTTTCATGGGTGTTGGAAAAGAAGGTGAAACCTCTCAAATTACCCTTATAATTGCATTGGAATGTTTAAATGATCAACTTGTGACAACTTAGTCTGTCAAGGACAGAAATATGTATTAGACTCCCCTTGCATTTCTGATAGCTTCTGCCTTATATTACTCAGTATATAGATGTTTGTAACAATTGTAAATTTATGGTGCAGTGTCCCATACAAAATGATCTTGGTTCTGTTTGTTAATTGCATTTACCTCTTTGTCTGTTATTAATTCTGTGAACTCTGTTTTATTTCTCACTTGCATTCCTTTTATAAACCGTTGACTATATTTTGGGTTTCAATATTTTAGTTGCTTTAAGCGTGATTCTTGAAAACTGCACTTAGTTGGGCCCAATATGAGAGATCCTGCCTTTTAGTAAAGGAGTTCTTTCCACATACTTTTAGCCTTATGCCATATTTTGAATCAAATGTCATTTTGTGCTTTCTTTTTTGTGCTTTCTTATTCTTTCCTTATTCTTCTCTTATGGCCTACTACAGTGTCTTTCTACGTGACATGCAAATCACTGCCTCACATCGTGGAGGGAGGGCATGTTGGTGCACTCAGCTCACACATTCCCGCTTTGCCTGAGGCTGATCAGCTGAGGGATGGAATGAGACGGTGTTAGGGTGAGGGTTGCCTGCTGTGGGCCCAGTGGTTCAACTAGCAGAGGTGCTCCCAGGTTGTTAGGGACGGCCTCTTCTCTGTTCCTAAGAATGATCGTGAGAGCTGCCATTTATTCTCTGCTTTCCCGGGGCCTGGCACTCTGCTACTCTGCTAGGCTTGTTAAGCACTGTCTCAGTGAATACTGACAATGGCCGCGTGAATACGCAGGCGCTGAGAGGTTGCCTGGGGTCACATAACTGGAGAGTGGACTTGGCCCACATGGTCTGGCCATAAGCCCTAAGCTCTTGACACTGCCCGCTCCTGATGCCCCGCCTCCACGGTGCAGGTCATTATTTTCCTATTCCTTCCTTGCAGTTGCCACCTGTCTGCCCTCTGCCATTTAGGACTTGCGGGAGGCCTCCATCAGACACTATATGAAGTGGGATGAATTGTCTTAACTTTTTCTTGTGACGTTCTCTGTTCTTGGACCGCAGGGCGGTGTGTGTTGGGCTTCTGAGGGCAAAGTGGACCAACACCGTCTCCCCTTTCTGAGCTCTGTCCCTTGTAATCAGACCAAGTGTCTGAGTCACCTCCTCAGGCCACTGGCCAGAGGCCCCTCGTGCATCACCCGATGGTTCTCGTGAGGCCACAGGACAGGTCTGGACTTGCAGTGGACACGTGGCCTATGCCAGCCCTGAGTTTCTGGAGCCACGGCTTGTCCTTGATGGCCTCATCTCGGTGGCCTCTCCCTGGAATTAGGTAGCAGAGGCTCTGTGTAGGCCTCGGTGTGGCTCAGTGCTCCTGCCTCTACCTCCGAAAGCCCAGCTTAGCTGCCCTGCTCTGTGCTTCCAGCCTGACGGCCATTTCCCTCCCGCCTCAGACAGTCGGGCTGCATTTCTCACGCTCATACAGAAAACGATTCCTGACACACACCAGCAAGAGGGAGAGAACAGGAGGTGTTGCCAACATGCTTTCTGTTCTCAGGACTGTGTGCGAGGGTTTTCCATGGGGGGTGCCACAGTTTCATTAAAAAGAAGGAGGCAAGATGGCATTCTGAGGCTTCGTGGGCCCATCGTCCTGAGAGCAGTTGGGGCCCTACCCGCCCGTCTGACCACCATGGGCAGACCCTGCCCATGTCCAGGCTGTGGTTGCAGTACTGCTTCCTCCTGGAAACCCATCCTGTCCCAGGGCTGGATTTGTTTATCAAAGGAGGAATAGTTACATAATTCCTGGAAAGTACAATATGGGAAAAAATGTCTGAAACCATTTCTTTTTCCCTTGGCAGAGTCTTGCCTGTAGGTCTTTGCCTCGGGGAGAGGGAGTTATTCTCTGAGAGAGACTTCAGGTCAGTTCCTGATATTTCCTGCTGCTTTGCTGCCTCCGTCGCTA